ATTAATTCTCATCAACAAAATCCAAGTTGTGCAGTTCATTTGTCATTTGTTATACTAATAATATTGTGGATTCCCCTAGATTTATTCAGTAAATAATTACTAGTATGAAACTCTTTAGCTGTACGCATCTACGATCTTGGAACCTGTAGTTGAACCTACGACTTTTGATTTCGTGAATGAACTCTTAGACTGTAGACCACTGAACCGGGTTTCAGTGATGTATAAATTTAACTTTAATCAATTCACGATATTATCCGACTATATTCCACTGTCTTCAGTGAGTACCTTCTTCACACTAGATACAGCTGAACTCCAAGGGTTGTAATTTCTCACTAGAACTCCAAGACTTTTCTCTCAAATCTAGTCATTAGTGAGCATATAACAATCATCAGTACAGGATGATATGCAATCGAGTAAACCATTCACCAACTAAACAGTCATGAGAAATGAAACCAAACATACAATTATGATGAACAGTCATCATTAGGTTAATAATAATAATTTTTTCTACATGGTTTAGATTCTAAACGATCAAAACTAAGACATACTAAACAGTTGTTTCGTCTTAGTACAAAACTATTAATTAGTACTGATCCATGACTCCATCACATGGAGTTAAACCCAATCCACTGAGGTCTCAACAGCGAACTCTAGCCATACTGATTTTCAGTTAGTAATATGAATCATAAAAATTCAACAACTTCCAAATACTCCCCTGTATTAAATTCATTTTTATATTGTTCGTTTCAATCTTACTATTGATGTTTGGAACTTTAGTTGATCAATCGCTTTTGTGCATCCTGTACAAATGGCTTAGATATTGTGTTAAGTCACAAGCACTATAAGAAGAGATGAATGATAGTTAGCGGTTGAATTCAGGAATTGCTTTAAGTACTGAATAGATTATTATTCCCCCCTCAAATAATCAGTCGATTATTTCATCTTAAATCTTTCTTATTTTCTATTTTGAACAAAATCAAATTTATTCTATTTCTTATTATTATGGTGAATGCTACTTATATTGACAGAAGTAAGTAGTATTTAAAACCAATCAGAAGTGGAATGTCTGGTAGCAGAAGTTTAAGAAAATCGAATTATAGAGAACGGGAATGTAAACAGAGAGTAATTGTGTTATATCCCGATAAGAATAATGAATGGTAACTGTTGTGATATATTCCTGGACTATTACTATACATATATTTTTATCGTATAATTGCTAAGTGACTAAACTATGAATATTCATGTTCCTCTTATCATAAGCTCTATTTTGACCTACGAACCATTGTTGAGTTATTCCCAGTCTATTAATTACAGTCTTCCACATTCACAGCCACATTTGGCCAAATCTTGTACAAATGTTGTTTCCTATTTTATTGGTACGATGTAGTCTGTTTGGTCTATAGATAAACCCGGTATGTTTGAAATACATGATTCATATCATAGAGACTGAGATTAGTGTTCTGGACTTAACAGGCAAGGCTAGGCGGCAAGCAGGACCAATATGAACTCTAGACTGCTCCTACTTGTTTTATGCATCATTGATCCGGTCGATAATTTACTGTTCTCTAATTGGCGGTATTATTACACTATATATATGAATAGGGCACACAGGCCACAAGATATAACAACAGGACTATAAGAATGATAACATTTGTAAGAGACAATTAATGGTAATTGTGTAAACGATGTATTTAATGTCTAGTTTTCATATTTTTATGAAGACACTGTGATTCTTCATTAAACGATAAATTGGTCTTCCCCACCTGAGTTCCTCACTCACTACATTATAAATATACTTTTTATTATTATCATCATCGTCTCATTAGTTATAGTAATAATAATACTACTAATAATAATAGCAATAGTAGTAGTAATAATAATAATAATGGTAATGGTAATAGTAGTAATAATAACAATAAGGAATAAAACCATCATCATATTCATTTTGTTTCTTTAAAAATTGATAGCCTTAGGGCTATCATCATTTATATTCTCATTATCTAAATGTTAACTAGACAGATGTGAAACAACATTGACAAAAGTCAACATCATTACTTTTTATGATCTATCATTAAGATCACTCCTAATATAGTATGGGGTTGAAATATAACTTCTAAATTAGTTAGGGGGGTTGTGGAGATTGTTAAGTTTTTGATTGAGATGATGAATCGATTGATGTTAGACCACCATTGAAAACCTGGAAGAATTAGACGACTCTTTCGTCGAATTGTGGAACCGCTCAGCAATGCGCATTCACGACCCCGCTTGCGGGATTCGAACCCAAGGCCTTCAGCCTAGCGCACAAACGCTCAACCTACTGGACCACTGAGCCGGCATCCGACGGTGTTAGTGTCTAACTTCAACCAATCCACGAAGTTGCACGACCCTAAACTGACAATTACCATGTGCTCATTAATGACTAGCTTCTTGAGAAAATTCTCGAAGTTCTGATGAGAAGCTGTGACCAGTAGAGGTAATCCGTGTCGGGTAGAAACAGGTATCTACATCAGTACATTGGAAGATGGTCGCGCAACTTCGTGGACTGGTTTAAGTTAGACATTAACATCACTGTATGCCGGTTCAGTGGTCCAGTAGGTTAAGCGTTCGAGCGCGAAACTAAAGGCCCCGGGTTTGAATCCCGCGGGCGGGATTGTGGGTGCACACTGCGGAGGAGTCTCGCAGTAGGACGAAACGCCGTCCGGTGCTTCCAGGTTTTCAATGATGATCTAACATCAATCGGTTCATGATCTCAATCAAAAACGTTATCGAAAACGTGGAAAAACTGAACAACTGTCCTGTCCTAGCATAGAACTGCTCGGCAGTGCACACAGATGACTACGCAACCGGGAAGTGGACCCAGCATTTCCGGTCTCAGGCATGAACACTTGATCTCCAAACCACTGACCCATATTCAATGACGTGCTAACATAACTTCAGTCAACTAACGATATTGCGCGATCATCTTCCATTGCCCGAGGTGGATAACAGTCTCGTACCCGACAGTTTTCATTAATAATGTTAAAGTCTTACCAGTAAAAATAACCCTGAGTGGTTTTTTCGAATACAATTTTTACAAGATTTTTAACTGGTTGCCACTATGTTAGTTCATTAATTTCCCATGTGCTTCAAGGCCATCCTTTTGTCGCTACATATACACTGAGTTGTACCGTTTCATATTGCTCTTCTTGAATGACCACTTCTTCCTACATTTCGTTAGTTAGTTAAGTTTGGAAGTACTGCTTGGTGGATGGCGTTATCAGATCCACAGGAAACAGTTTGTACCAGAATATCTCAATCATTCCTTTAATACCTAGGTGCTGTAAGCCAACCGGAAACCCCAAATCACCATCATTTCTTTACCCATATTTGACAACTTCTTACAGGAGGTCAGTCATGGCCTAAATAACTCAATAGTGACATCTCGGACTGTAGAACTGGGTCATATGAGTTCGAATCCGTCTGACAGCATCATTTCCTTTAAGATTACAGGTACATCTTGATGATGAACATGGACTACCTTCAAACATCTAGCATCTCAACATAACACATACAATGTGGATCCACTTAGACCAGTGACCACAATGAAACTTGATCGATATAATTCTATCAGAATGACTAAGAAAGGACTAGATGAACATGACATTGTTCACTATTTAGTGGTTATTCCATTTTATTTGTGACAGATCAAATGACGAACACATGAGATTGGCCAAGATTTGACCTCTTTTTCTAAGGAATAAGATACACTCCATTGGCTGAAATAGGTGACTATTTTCTACGGGATATATACATGGGTAAACGTTTATTCCTTCCTACTCACTCCTAATAATAAAATATCAATTCTGTTATATCCTAATGAGTAGAAAAAAATGAGATTTTCTGACGTTCCCTGGCTTAGTGTAAGTTACTTCTTCTAAAGGATACAACACATTAATTTTACTTATTAACAATCTATTCAAAGCTTAACTTATTTAAAACCGTTAGATCAAACCTTGGTAATGTGATACCAACTACTCATTTAAGTAGCTAATTTAAGCACACATATAGGAAGTTTATCTAACAGTATCAGAATTAGATATTGTACACAAGAGTACAAGTTCTTCATTTCGTCAACCTATTGATGAGAATCAGAAGTTAAAAGAAACTCTTTTGATTTACAACTAGGATTTATGAAAGTACATGATTGTAGTGTGATTTATAAAGAAATTATTTATTTTAACAAAGTAAGTCAAAAGGCGATTTGATATAAACGTACTGTGGTATGTACTACTGATGTCGACAGATTTAAGTAGTATATATCATCAATTGAAAGTGGGCAAATATTTAGGCATTAGATCTGATTTAGAGCTCATTACCTGGATGAACTTACTTCTCAGTGTTCATATCCACATTAAAGCTCGAACCGAGGGACGAGAGTCTTTGACAATCCTACTAGTCATTATCTACATTGAATAAAAAACTTGTGACTAGATGGCGATAACATGTCAATTCACTTATGACCAAAGAAACTGATCAGTTGTAGTCCTTAAAATAAATAAATGGATAATGCAAATCTAAACTCATATTCATTACACAAACTACTGGCTATATAGACTCAGTAAAGCAGTAGATAACATATTGAGCTTTTCAAGTAAACGATATTATGTTTCTAGTTCCAGTACAAGTCTCAACACTGACGAGTCTCATATTGGACGAAACTCACTATCCTAGATTCCACTACTAATCCCTTATTCGACCATAAATGAACATTCTAGAAATTACTAATATTATTTCTTAATTACTATTGTGTAACATTCAGTTTGAGATTGTGGAGATTGTTGAATTTCACTAAAATTATGGACCGATCAATGATAGACCACCATTGAAAACCTGAAAGCACTGAACGGTTGTTTCGTCCTAGTATATAACTCCTCAGCATTACTCATCTACTATTCCATACACAAGATTTGAACCTGGAACCTTCGATCTCGCTCTCGCTCTCATAGCAAAAATCATTAGAAGACTCAATCAAAATGATTGATTTCTCTTTAATCAATAATTACAAGAATACTGATTGTATTAATCATTTACAAAACCATTTTATTTTCATGTCAATTAGTGTGTAATTACAACTTCATAGTGATTGAATATACACTTTCATGAATAAACAATGATGACGTAATTTAACTAGAAAAGAAAACAATGAAAAAGAAATTTAAGTTGTTTATTATTAAAATGAAATGACCATGAAGGGAAGAAAGTATAATAAACAATTTTTTGGATTCACTTGATGTTTCAGAACGGGTTTGTGAAGATTGTAGTAATTTCAACAGTTGAGATCATGAGTCAATTGAAACTAGACCACCATGGAAAACCTGGAAGCATTGGACGGTCGTTTCTTCCTATTGTGGGACTCCTCAGCAGTGCGCATCCACGATCCTACCTCGTGGAATTCGAACCCAGCACCTATCAGTCTTGCGCGCGAGCACTTAATCACCTGATGTTGTTTACTTGTATCTTCTCATTGTTATTTAGGACTGCAATTGATCAGTCTCTTTTTATGGCATATGTGCATCCTGTGCGGACTGCTTCGATATAGCCTTAATTCACAAGTTTTATAAGTAAAGGTGGATAGTGGTTAGCAGTGGAATCCTGTTTGACGCGCGTTTCGTCCTATTTGGAATTGGTTAGATGGATGTACCTGCATCACAGAATTGATGTTCACTCTGGGACTCGAACTCAGTACCGTTCGCTTCAAACGCCATCGCGTTGTCAGAAATCAGTAGCTAAGTGGATAACAGTAGGATTCGACTGCCAGCCAATATCCATATTTGCTTATAATTAACACTATTTATAAAATAAATTGTACTTACTGTAACAATTAGCAAATGGTGGTCTAACATTGATCATTTCATGATCTCAATAAAAATTCAACAATCTCCACGACTCTATGCTGATAATTATTATGTACTTACTAGTGACTAATTTCCAGAAGGAATTCTCGGCGTTTTAGTGAGAATCCATGACCAGTAGAGATCAACTTTGTCGCAAGTGAAGTAGTTACGCACCAAAGACAATGAAAGATAGTCGTGCAATATCATGGATTGATTAAAGTTAAACATTAAAACCACTGGATTTCATCTCAGTGCTATAAAGGTTAAGAATTTGCTTAAAACCGGACATCTTGGATTTGAATCCTGCGTGAAAGTTCATGGATGCCCACTGCCGAGGTGTCCCATACTAGGACGAAACGGCCGCCTTGTGCTTCTTAGGCTCCTAATGATTTCCAATCTTAGATCGGTTGGAGGTCTCCAAAAAAGACTGTTTCTTATTCAAGGACTAGTCAAAGCAATTTTACTGAATTATAGATAGTTTATCAGTAAAATAAATACCAATAAATTCAAATACTGATTGAAATCATGAGTCAATTGAAGCTAGATCACCATGGAAAACCTGGAAGCACCGGACGGCCGTTTCGTCTCACTGTGGAACTCCTCAGCAGTGCGCACCCACGATCCCGCACCCCGCGAGATTCGAAGCCAGGACCTATCCGCCTCGCGCCAGGTACTTAACCAGCTAGATCACTGAGCCGGCATCCGACGGTGTTAATGTCTAACTTCAACCAATCCACGAAATTGCGCCACCGTACACCATTGTCTTTAGTGAGTTAATATCTCACAACAGACCTGGTTGAACTCCACTGGTAACGGCTTCTCACTAGAACTACAGGATCGTGGATGCGCACTGCTGAAGAGTCCCATACTAGGACGAAACAGCCGTTTAGTGCTTCCAGGTTTTCCATGGTGGTCTATCTTCAAACGACTCATCATTTCAATCAGTGAAATTTCTAACATCTCCACAAAACCCCTTCTGATAAATTCAAACACGTTAGCTAACAGATAAACTCTTATCTGATTCCTCTTTGAGAAACATTTTACTCCTAATTCATATTAGTAAAACTTAGTTGAACAATTGAACCTTCAAGAATATGAACTTAACTGTTAAATTTCAAGGATCATAGTCAAAATATGATGCCTTCATTTTGATCTCATTTATCCACTTCATTTATTTAAGTTAACAGCGTTTAGAAAAGGTTAAGAAAAAACTTACACAATTGATGAGTTTATGATGATTGACGTTTATTCATACGAGCAGACCTTCGATGTGGATGAAGACTAGTACGTAGTGAACGCGTTTTCAATTGTTTTTGAAACTGTCTTCTCACCTAGTAATTTAAACAAAGTAGTCACAAGATAAATAAAATTTTTTAACAAATAAACGATGACGGATAATGGCTAACAGTGGAATCCAGGATGCGCATTTCGTTCTATCAAGGACTTGTCAATTGGAATATAGAAATAAACATAGACTTATAAGCAAAAATAGGTAGTGGTTAGCAGTGTAATCTAGGACGCACGTTTCGTTCCATTCAGGACTCGTCAGTTTTATGCACATACATTTCAGAGTTAATGTTTACTCTGGGACTGGAACCCGGTATCCTTCGTTAGAAACGCCATCGCGGTATCCACTTAGCCACTGAGTCCTGATAGCCACTTGCTTATGCAATGGGGTGAAGTTATATTCATTTGGTATTGTTTACTTATATCTTCTCATTGTTATTTAGGACTGCAATTGATCAGTCTCTTGTTTTAACAAATCATCAAAACAAAATTTCCTGGTGAAGTTGGTCTACCAACATGATCTCAGTTGTTTTAAGGTTAAGGGCTTACCATGAGATTTAAAACTTCTGGGTTCAAAACCTCTATAGGGTTGTGAAAGTACACGGGCAAGGGATTTCATACGATGACGTAACAGATATCCAGAACTTTCTATTTTTTTTAATGGTTGTCTAAATGAGGTTAATTCATGATGTATTCTGTAGAATTCAAGTTTCCACAAAATCTTCTATACTAATAGTTCAATAGATGTAAAGGTTTATTATAAAGGTTATCCATAAGAGATGTTGAAGAGAAGAGTACTAGGTTCAAACATTGAAGTGAACATCAACTTCGGATGTAGGTACATCCAGTCAATGCGTTTCAAATAGGATGAAATGTAAGTCCTGAATTCCACCACTAGCCATCATCTATCTCTGTTTTAAATGCTTTTGATTTAAGAGCAATAATTAGGCAATCTGTACATGGTTAATTAGGGATATTACAAATGTTATCTACAGAATTAGTTCATCACTTAATCAAATTGTGATAACGAATAGTGAGTTCAAATATATAAAGTATTATCAGTATTCTTTGAAGCTAAAGTATTTTCATCACTAAATGACATCAGTTAAAATGTCAACCAAATGGATGAATGAATTTCGCGCCAAAATCCAAGACCTGTTATCTTAAATCGGATTGGTTCATCCATAAATTATAGTCTCGCTAAAAAAACATATGGAGGGGGGGGGGTAAGATTCATCATAAGATTATCATAATAATCAGTAGCTTTTAAACGTACCTCTTTTGTTAGGAAACAATAAAGTAAAGTAACCCATATTCCCTAAAAAGACAAAAATGAACAGAATGGAAACATTAATTTCTCTATTTATGTAGTAATAAATTGATGAATAACAGACATTTCTACTGGTCATATTACAATTCAATAATATGATGATGACGAGTGTTGGGCTGCTAAAAGTGGGTGAGCTGACATTGTAATCTAACTGATATTTTTTTTGATACACAATGTCCGAGACTGATGCTAACACACTAATTTCCTATACATAAAACCTTAATTAGTTACTGAATGAGAAGACTAAGGATGAGGGAGTAAGGTTATTGAGCTAACTGACTCACCTGCATTAGCACTCATACATATATATATATCACATACACATTTTTGATTGGCACAACACGGCATTGTTTGGTGACTTTTGATTGATCCACTGTACCAGTATTTATCAGTAGAAAGTGTTTATTAATGTAATGATGATAAACTGAAAGCATTTAAAGATATCACGTGTACGTGCTCACATGCTCTCTCAAGGTTAAGAGTTAGATAAGAGATGATAAACAATGAGTGCTGTCGAATGAACTCAACCATATATTTGGCCGAGTACTTACTCTTATGTCCTTGTCTAGGCCAGAAGGGTGAATAGATATTTACTAATGAATTGTGTACATTACTGAGTTTGTCATCTACAACTTTTGAATCATTCTTAGTTTCTCATTCATGTAACAAATCGGGAAAGCGTGTAGGAAGTATGAATCTATATGGGAATCGGACAACCAGGAAACATAGCAGAACATAGCCAGTAATTTTCAGCAACACACAATTTAAGAGTGTCTCTGGTTGTGGATAATCATCCCTTAAGGTTAGATTAGAAAAAAACTATTTATATGATTTCTATTATTGTCCGACGATTGATTTCTGTTGGGGAGACCCAGAGGATTGCTTGAGAAAAGCTCAAAGGGGCCTTGAAAACGCTAGAAAACATTCTATCTAATCAGCATTGAATAGAAGTTCCTCAGAAACATCCAGAAAGTGTCACATTTCTGATTAGATAATTACCTGTCCTGCTACTATGTTTGGTAGGGTAACAGAACTCTCCTGAAGTCTAAAACCATCCTAGTTTGGAACTTTGTTAACGGCAACAAATAATCTTTTTGAAACAGATATAGTCAATTATAACATCTACTGGCTGTATACTAAGAGTATTTTTAAGTAGATAAGGTAGAATAATACCTCAATAAAGTTTTCTAAGACACCAAAGTATCATTTATTTCTAGGAAATTAGCTCTATGTTTCCCGAACGAACGTACAGACAAGAGAATAACTTCTTATCAAGTTGTATAGAATAGGTAAGATCCAGAACATGCGTTTTGCTCTATTCGAGACTTATCAGCTGAATGTACCTATCCTATCCTGATATTAATGTTTATTACAGGTATCAAACCCAATGAATTCCATCCAAAACTCTCCATGTGTTAGTACAGAGTGACTAAGTTCAGATAGCCACTTATGTGTGCAATAGGTAGGAATTTTAAATCAGTTTGTAATGATTAGAATTATCCCATTTGTTATATCCTGATAAGAATAATGAATGGTAATTCTTGGGATCCATTTATGGACCAATACTATGAGTATATTTGTATCGTATGATTGTTATGTAAGTAAACTATTCATATTCATGTTTCTCTTACTATAAGCTTTATTTTGACTCATAGACTATTACTATACGACTTACCATTCTTGAGTTATGGCCTGTCTATTAATTACTATCTCCCTCATTCACAGCCACATTTGGCTAATTCTTGTACAAATGTTGTTTCATATTTTATTGGTACGTTGTGGTCTGCTTGACTGGTATATAAACAGAGTATGTTTGAAATAGAATGATTCATATTGCAGAGGCTGAGATTGGTGTTCTGGACTTAATTGGCTGGGCTAGATAGGAAGCGAGACCAGTCAGGACTCTAGGCTGCTCGCTCGTGTTTTATGCGTCACTGGTTCGATCGATAATTCGACGCTCTCTGATTGGCGGTATCGTTGCGTTATACAATAAACAGGGCACACAGGTTCATAAGTTACAACACCATTATTATTTAATTATTTTAAACACGGAAAGTGATATTTGTGAATATGATAACCTTCAAGTCAAACTGGCATTTTCTACAGTAATTAAAGCAAAGTTTCAAGCTCTTTTTCTAATACAGTTTTGTTCTTTGAGCTGGATGGTTTGGTCTTGAAGCTTTCATTGTTCTTCTGAACGATATGATCAACACAAACTTCACGCGGAAGTTTCAAGCTGTTGAACTGAGAATTTACAATAGGTAGTGTAAATTCCTAGAGGGATTTGTTTAATACATCTTGATTTGTCAGATGGTAGTATACTTTGAATGGTCAGCAAGTGAAGTTAAACATATCCTGCCATACGGAATACATAAGATGAACTTCTATGTAAAATGGGCTAGATTTTTGTTCACTGCTTTTTACTATATGTCAATAAACACTAGTTCTGATCTAGATGTGATTCTTGATCGTTTATGGATAATTGTGTTGAGTTCATTATGTGATCAAGTACAGTAATCTATTTCGTAAATTTACCTAATGATCAGTCTAATGAAACAGTGTTTAGTCCTGTTGGTCTCTTTATTTAATACTTGTCCAGTGTAAGATCAACCACGAACTTGTAGTTTCCATTATATCAAATCTACAGAAGATCTTTTCACTGTTAATTCATACATCTTCAAATAGGACGTAGAACCTATTGGTTTCATCAATGATAAATAGACTTAGAATAGGTCAAATCAAGCTTGTAGTATTTCCCGGCTTTTTCATAGTTATCTGACTGATAATAATAAGTGGTTAAACACATCCTTAAATTTATCAGATTCTTATCAGAATTGATGTATACATAGGGAAAATAACATATGATCCACCACTGGGTGTGGATAGACAGGCGCCCAGTTTACTGATTATTAAGTACATGATTTCCTTTCTTCGTATTCCACACTGGACTCACTGTGTGTCTGGATTGCTTGCAATTATATTGAATAAAGTATTATCTAGTCCCTATGCTCTGGTTCAGTATGTTTGGTTGTGAATTTTTAAACTTATGTAACAAGACCCAGTCTTTGTATAGAGCATCAATTGCGTATCCACCTACTGTTGGCAAATCCCGATCGCCAGTCTTATTATCGTATTTCAATTCGTCTGTTATTGTAATCGATGTTGAATATCAGAGTTTAAGTCACGGATTGATCTTAATTTAGAAACAGGAAGTACTACACAGCTAGTTTATCCTAGTATCAGACTCTAGGTCAGTGGTTATCTACGATCCTCAATGAAGGGGATCTGAATTTTAAGCGCTCTCAATTAGACAGCAAATATCTAAGTTTAATCTCTTTCAGTGAATTTGTGACTACTCCCTACTGAGAAATTTAATACTAGAACAAAACAACTATCTAGTACTATAAAAAAAGATGAATAATGACTAGCAGTGAAATCCAGAACGAAACGCGCATCATACTGGATTCCACTGCTAGCCACCATTCATCATTGCTTATAATGTTTGTGACATAAAGCAATATTGAGACAATATGCATAGTATGCACATATACCCATAAGAGATTGATCAATTTACAGTCTTAAACTTCAATGGAAAGATTCAAATAAACAACAATATCAAATGAATTAATTCTACTTACTTGAGTTGAAGTAAGAAATGCATTGATTATATCAAATCCTGGTTTTAAATATGGATGATAAGGTGTAATGAAAATAATCTCCGGTAGACCAAGCAATGGCATTAAAGTTAAACTGGCTTTAACTGTTTTACTATAAAACAAATTAATAAGATTATAATTACAACAGAATTAGACTATGGAAAGGAAAATCTTTCAATTTTAAAGTAATAACTTTCTAGATTTTTGAGCTGAAGTGATAAATACCTTGTAAATTGATTGATCACTGGGTGGTGATCAATGTCATGTGTGTCAAGTCCTTATTAGTGCAGATAGAATTGTGATTACATCTCAGTCCTACAGGAGGTCGGTCGCGGCCCGGATAGCTTTAACTGTGAAGCTGGGTGACATGTGATAGAATCCGTCAAGGAGCACCAATTCCCTCAAGATTACAGGTACATCTTGCTGACAAGTGTCAAGTAGCAGGAAACCCGGGTCCATGGTTTCCTGTTGACTACCTCCAACCACCATCTACCTTGTAAATAAGTTAGTTAAAAGCTACCTAAATCTATCAATGTTTAGTAATTATGAAACTTAAAATTGCATTAAAATATAGTGTTCAACTTGGAAAAGAGTAAGAAATATGTTCGATGGGCTTTTTTGAACTATATTTCTACTTTTGATCCTATACCAAGACAACGTTTACTTAGCAAGTTAGTGAGCGTCAATACTGAAAGCTGGATAAACACCTGACTATGTTCCTACCTGTCTGGAAAAGAACAGTACATTGTGTTTGGAGGAAAGTGTTCAGAGTCTCTTATGTCTCATGAAGGTGTGCCACAAGGAGCTGTTCTTTCACCTCTTCTTTTTTTTCCTGCATGATCTACCATCTACCACAGAAAACACTTTTGTGAAATATGTGGACTATCTCACTATATGTATGCCGATCTCTACCTTTTTAAATCCCATAGAAACGAATGGGTTTTTGTCTCGTATTGATTGTTGGTCTGTTGTTAATAGTCTCATACTTAATCCGTCTAAATATCAAGCTGTTAACATGAGCCTAAGACATGAACGGCATCTAACCACCACTTTGGGGTCCCATAAATCCTATGCCATTGGAGGCTCTTTGACAAACAAAGTGTCGAAGATCAATTGTCTTGGTGTTGCCTTTTCCTCTGATCTCTCTTGGTCTTCTCACGTCTTACTGTTATCGAAGAAAGTTTTCCGTTGGAATTACTACATAAAGAGACTGCATACTCTTGAAGTTAATCGTCATTTACTCTTACAATTTGTCAGTTCCTGTATATTACCTATTATTCTTAACTGTTCTCCATTATTCTTTTCCGGGTTTTTGAGAAAAGACTTTGCTGTATTGCGGAGAGTACTGAAGGCATTTATCAAGGTGTGCGGTGAATCTTTTGAGGTTATAATTAATATGGTTGTTGATAGACATCTTTGTGTGGGGTTCTTTATTTTTCCGTCATTTAGATCGGACGATGTTGTAGACGGGCAAACCACTTTAGTGGCTCGGGATCTGACTCCGAGTTGATCGTATGAATGATTGTTATTGAAATGTATATGTCGCCTATCTTTGTGCATAATCATTGACAAATTGCGTTAGTCAATAACGGAATTAAATAAGTCATATAACGAGAATGGACTTGTGAATACATATATTTTTTCTATAAAGCGAATGGGATAGAACAGAGCAAAACGACGCGCAGTGGAGATGGCGGGTAAGCCAACTTCCCTTTAGTCACGCGTTAATCAATGTTTATAAGCACACAAAAATAAGTTACAGACATGTGATGAGTGATGGGATAAGAAGTGTACACACATATATGCGCTCATATAAAAACGGTCAAGATTGATAAACGAATAATTAACAAGGTCAAACTGTGACTCTCAAGTAGAATGAATAGCCTGGCTTGTACGAAAGCGAGAATGAGATATATGGGCTTAACATGACAACCGAAACTACAATCTAAAGACATGTAAACTCATGACAGGTGTTATCTTACCAAATACTAACCATCCCCATCAGTCATATCTTTCTCCTTGTATATCTTCTGGTAGAACGAGACATCAATACATTAAAATCCATGCACGCAAACAAAAGTATAAAAGTTCTATAAGACCCTCACCTAGCAAATATACTCTGTGAAGAACAGGTTGTTAGAGTTAACCTAGTCAATAGCCTTCATTCTTATACATGTCTCTAATTTAGAAAGTTCTGCAGTTCTTCAGATTCTTTTAACCTTTTTTTTTGTAAAAGAAACTTGTTGAAATACACGGTGCTGAGAATTCTATATTGTACCAAAATATAATATTGCATAAAGCCATAAGTAGACGGCTAGAAATTAATGTTAGACACTATCACCATTGGATGCCGGCTCAGTGGTCCAGTAGGTTAAGCGTTCGCGCGCGAGACCGAAGGCTCTGGGTTCGAACCCCGCAAGCGGGATCGTGGGTGCGCACTGCTGAAGAGTCCCGTAATAGGACGAAACGGCCGTCTAGTGTTTCCAGGTTTCCAAAGGTGGTCTAACATCAATCGGTTCATGATCTCAAGAAAAAAAAGCTAGAAACTGATTGGTTTTATTTTAAGGGAATCATAATAGAAAACAAATAAAATTAAAATATACACTGAGCCCCGTAGATTTTGGCAGTTGGATAGTGTTGTAGTGGCTAGTGCTCACAAAAGTTTTTGTAAGTAATGTGTAATGAACCATGGGCATCAATGTTGCAACAATTGTCGGACGGAGTGAAGAGTTTCAGGACATCGAAAGCATGGTGTTTGTAGAACATTTGAAGATGAGAGGAGAATACAGTTCAGATGGCAGAAAACACCAAAAGATTCAAATAGACGATTAAAGGATATGTATATGTATTATGTAAATACTCCGTAACTTCTCACAACTAGTATAAGTCCCTCTTGCTAATTACTTACTACTTCCGCTTCATACTACTTACAAACTATCTTGTGGGCAGCGGCAACCATACTGTTACTAGTTCTCATGCGTAGAATGTGTAATAAACGCATTTTGTCACATGCCTACGTGGTTTTTTCTAATTGTTTACCCACGTTATTCATGTGCAAGCTTGATCATGCTTGATTTCAGTGACGTTCAACAATCTTCATAACCCTACACTGATAATCAGTAGTTAAGTAAATCATTTGTAACTTAATAAAACAGGGACAGAAACATTCTAATCTGCCCTTGAATGAATGATATTTTGAAGCAAGACTAGTATAACTTAAGGTTGATAAAAAAATTCAGTAGAAAAAGCATCGAAAGACTCATTCTGCGTAAAATTAACACTAACATGTAATTTAATGGTTGGATTCATGAAGCTAGAGCACCATGGAAAACCTGAAAGCACTGGACTTCTCAGCAGTGCGTCCGCGCGCGAAGCCGATAGGTCCTGGATTCGAATCCCGCAAGGCGGAACTGTGGATGCACACTGCTAAAGAGTCCTATTACTTAATTACTTACTTACGCCTGTTACTCCTCGTGAAGGAGTATAGGCCGCTAACCAGCATTCTCCATCCAACTCTGTCCTGGGCAATCCTTTCAAGCTCTTTCCAGTTGTAATTCATGCTTTTCATATCTGATTCTGTTTCCCGACGTAATGTGTTCTTTGGCCTTCCTCTTTTCCGCTTCCCTTTAGGATTCCAAGTTAGGGCAAAGAGTCCCATACTAGGAAAAATCGGCCATCCAGTACCTCCAGATCTTCCATGATGGTTTAGCTTCAATTGACTCATGAATTCAACTATTGATTAAGCGCCTGGCGTGAGACTAGTAGGTCCTGGGTTCGAATCCCGCGAAGCGGGGTCGTGGATGCGCGCTGCTGAGGAGTCCCACAATGAGACGAAACACCTGTCCAGTGCTTCCAGGTTTTCCATGGTGATCTAGCTTCAAATGACTCATGATCTCAACTGTTGAAATTACTACAATCTCCACAAAACCCTTTTTGATTTACACATAAGTCTTAACACTTTCTAATGAGATTCTTTATGTTGACTATTATTGCATACTAATTGATTGGTAAAGGGTGTGAAACTTGCAAATTATTTTTGTTATCAATCATGTTTACATACATAAACAGAGAAAAAAATGACGAGATTTGATTAAAAGTGTATTGTAGAATACATTGTGAGCTTATGTATACGCCCTGCTACTGAATGATATGATATTATAACTAAATAGTTGTCTAATGTTTCTTGTCTAAAATCAGTTGGTGATGTAAACTATAAAATGTACTAAACATTACAAATTCCCCACACTCATTTATATTCAAGTTTTATGACTCCTTTAAGTGTTATTTCCAAAGTTTTCAGTTTGTATATTGACTGGTTGATAGAAGGTGTACAACTTCAAGGACTAATGTTTTTTGTCATTACTCACCTTCACAAACAGAATGATATATTTCAATAGTTGAGATCATGAATCAATTAAAGCTGGACCATCATGGAAAACCTGAAAGCACTGGACGAGTGTTTCGTTCTATTTTGGGACTCCTCATCAGTGCGCATCCACGACCCCATCTCACGGGATTCGAACCCAGAACCTATCAGCTAGCTTCAACTGGCTCATGATCTCAACTATTGAAATTACTAACATCTCCACAAAACCCCTTCTGAAAATGAAATATGTTGTAAGTAGAATGATGTGGACAACTTAAAGTGTTCATTAGTCCTAGGAATTCAGATTAAGAGATTGAATATAGAGTCAAGATTCATACACAACCATTTCTACTAAGAACTGAAGTACGAATTATTTACTGTATGCGAGAGACTTTTTAAATTTATGTGAAGGAGAAAAACACAATCATGTTCACGATCCTACACTCGATACTAGATAATAGGGTGAGACTATAATTTATGGACGGCCTTTGAGTGACACTAAAGGGACCTTGAGAATGTCCACCTATATAATACGGCTAAATGAGGATTATAAATCAGCGTGAGGAACTAGGATTAATACTTACAGTTGATGGTTAGGGTTAGGAATCAGATATAAGGTTTTCATCACGAACTAACATCAGATATAATGTCGAAACTCTATTTAATCAAATAAATGAGTGAATTTTGCGCCAAAATTCAAGACACGTTATTGTAAATCTGACTGTTTCGTCCACAAATTATAGTCTCGTCGATAACAGAAAACCAGAGTAGTAAGACTAAACATTAGATTGGACACTAGAACAATCGATACAGTAGACCAGTATACTTGATCATATTATAGATTTAACTCAAATATCCGATCAATGATCAAGAACCATCTATTTAGCCAGAATGAGAGGAATCAGCCAATAGAGTTTTAAAATATAAGATGGTCTACTATATTTAATGTGATCGAACATTTCAGTTTTCACTCGTTGGCCAATCTACATCATACTTTCATTTGATTCATTTCATACAAACGTCTTCCTTTTTATCTTACAGTGCTATACAAGTATTTCACGTTTATTTTAGTGATTGGACATTAAAAAACAAGTAATTTATTTAGTATACCCTGTTGATGAAGAACCTCAAAATAATTCGGATCTATTGGCCGGAAACTAACAGTAACAACCTACTTTGGGAGAGAACAAACCAAATCTCAGTGGGAGAAGAAATCAGGAAGGAGCACTGGAAGTGGACAGGACAAACATTGAGGAAAGCACCCGACTGAGTCACAAGCCAATCCCTCACATGGAATCCTCAAGGCCAAAGGAGGAGGAGAAGAAGAAGAAGACTGAAGAACACATGACGTCGAGAAATAGAGATAGACATGAGAAGAATGAACAACAATTGGATAGAACTAGGAAGGAAGGCCCAGGATAGAGTGGGTTAGAGCATGCTGGTCGGTGGCCTATACTTGATTGAGAGTAACAGGTGTAAGTAACTAAGTTGATAAAGAATATCGTATCTTCATTAACAAACAGACAAACAAATAAAAAATAAACAAACACAATAGAAAACTTACACAAATTCTCGTCCACTTATACGACCAATTAATTTAGCTAAACGTACACGTGTAGTACCTGGTAATTCAAATCGTGATATATCACTAATTTGTGATGATCTATATGATACATTACGACTTGCTTTATGAAAAAATCTCTGTTGTTCATCATTTGGTAAATCTGTTGATTGTGATGATGATAAGAATAATGATGATGATAATTGTGTATTAGGTAATGATTGAAATCGTCTTTTAGGCTGAATAATATGTGAACAATTCATTTCAGTGATATTCTTAAGATTGTTTATACTACTATTATTTTGTTCATTATTAGTAGTATCTTGATTTATATCTTCAGATACTTTGTTAAGTATATCATTATTATTATTCAAATTTGAATTAGATTTTCTTTGAAATGATAATGATTTACGTTTTGTAGAAGGATTACAGTAGTTATGATAACGTTTATTCGATAATGACATAAAACCGATTCGATGATCTTTTATATTAGTTAATGGTTGTATAGTAGAATAATTGCCTAATTTCGGATCATTTACATAAGTATCAATAGTAGATAATGTACGATTTGGTTTTTGTAATTCAGTATCATAGTTTTCGTCATTATTATCATTGGTATTATGATTATTATTATAGGTGTTAGCATCAATATTAGTAGTGATGATACGTTTACGTAATTTATCATTCAATGCATAAAGGATGATGATTAAAAATACAACATTCAACTAAAATATAAATAAATTATACAAATAATGAAATACTTCTTATCATTTAGATTGACTGTTGAACAAGACCTGGAAGCATTGGACGACCGTTTTGTCCTAGGATGGAACTTCTCCGCGGTGCGTTTATACGCGAGGCTGATAGGTTCTGGGTTCGAATCTCTCAAGGCGGGATCGTTGATGTGCACTGATGAGGAGTTTTGTACTAGGATGAAATGACCGTTTGATGGTTCTGGATTTTTGTAGTGGTCTAGCTTTAATTGATTTATGAATTCAACTACTGAAATTACTATAAGATATACAAAACCGCTCTCTGATTCTAATCATCATATGCTCATTAGTGACGGTCTTCAAGAGGTATTTCCTGTAGTTCTAGTGAGAAGCAGTGACTAGTTGAGTTCAACTGGGTCTGTTATGAGATAGTAACTTACTGATGACAATGGTGGATATGTCACTCAATTTCGTGGATTAGTTGAAGTTAGACATAACACCATTGGATGCCGGCTTAGTAGTCTAGAGGTTAAGTGTTCGCGCGGGAGACCGATAGGTGCTGGGTTCGACATCCACGAGACAGGACCGTGGATGCGCACTACTGAAGAGTCCCACAATAGGACGAAACGACAGTCCAGTGATTCCAGGTTTTCGATGGTTGTCTAGTTTCAATTGACTCATGAATGTGTCATTGTTTTAACATAATTAATGGACTCTCTCAGGTTTACTACAGGTTCTTAGCCATTAGAGTTTTTAATTAGGATTGAGAATAATGGTTGCAAATTAGGGTTAGGATGTCGAGTTTAGGATTAAGAGTTTGAGATTAGGGTTAGAATCAAGATATAGATTTAGAATAAGGGTGTAGGATATAATATTAGACTTAGGATCAGTATATGTCTTTATAATTGTTGACCTTAAGCCTGTAACTTATCTGCCATGTTATCTTCTGCGTGATTTTTGGTCCTATATTTGTACATGGTTTTTCTGATTGATCGTTAGATTGGATCGATTTCAATGTGTTTTTGATTGCTGATCGATCTCAATGCCTTGCTCTTAAAAATTCTTCGATGTTCTTAGAATACTAAGATTAACAATAACTAATCAAAATCATGGTCGACAGGACAAACTGAGAGTCATATGTGAAGAAATTTGAATACTTCACTTCTATCTGAAGTTTGTGCTGATGATCTTGTTTAGAGGGAGAATGGAAGCTCCACGATCAAACCATCCAGTTCAGAGAATGAAACTCCACCAAAATCGTCTTCTTCAGCTTCAAATCTTTTTTCACTGTGATTTATGTTGAAAAAAATAAACTGGAAACATTAAGATAGTACCATATTTGAATTTTCAGCGCACGGTACTGAGAAAATATCTCAGAATCCAAAAACGTATATTTCAGCTCTACAAAACTAGTATACCTCAAGTAGTGGGGATTGCATTTTCAGTGTTTTACCCAAACTCTTGAATCTGATCTTAAATTTAGCTCATCATCTGCTTTACGAACTTATATGATATAATGGTGAAAGAACTGAATTGTTCACGTTTCTAAAACTACACAGCAGATGATATAATACACACAATGACCCAGTTGTCTAACCATTCGATTGGGTAGTAGATTAGATCAGAACAAAAATTTAATGATATTAGATAAGAGTGAAATCAAACTAGAGTAAACTTGACAATATAATGTACTACGTTTACTTACACCTGTTACTCCCAATGAAGTGCTACAAAGCACTTTTGCACTATATCTCCGCTTGTAGCTCTTATATGGTTACTCACAGTCCAAAGCACGGGTAAAGGAAGAGGATTGAGCATGGGGTCAACAACCTCATCCCGTAGAAAATAATCTTGCTAAAGAAGATGCTAGCCAGAATAAGTAAATTTTGCATTATAGTCGATGTCAGTTCATAATGAAGACCCTAATTTCAAATTGTTAGTCCTAATATTACGTACTCGACCTTAACCAAACACACCATACAAGCTCGAAGATCTACTTACATTTTGTAATATTATTGTGTTTTTCTCCCTATAAACTATCCATTTATAAAAGCTTTTGATTCGACTATAATTTATGAATCACATTTGAGCGACGTCAAAGTGATCTTGAGAATGTCCACCTACTATCTAAGACTAAATGATGATTATAAACCAGTGTAATCAATTAGATTTAGGGTTTTCATCATGAACTGATACTACCTATTATGTTCAAACACCATTTAACCAAATGGACAGATGAATTTCGCGCCTAAATCCAAGATCTATTATCCTAAATCTGATTGGTTCGTTCATAAATTTGAGTTTCATCAGTGTATAGTAACAATTAACCATTGGTAACAAAAAGTATTCAATGAAACAAAATCAATGATTTTTAATGAATGTTTTGATTATTCAGAAAGAAAAAACCCTCCTTACTTACACCCAATAGGATTAATGCTGGTATCGTTAATAAATATACATCAGTTCCATAGAAAAGCCAAAATCTAATTTTTAGATAAATAAATTGAAGAAAAGAAAAAACAAACTGAATAAATAAAGAAAAGTTGAGAGATATGAACACTATTGTGTTGTGTCGGCTTTCGAGAACTACAACGGAGCTTCCAAAGGCCTTAAAGGAGCCGAAGCGTTTCCATCCAACCAGAACATAATGGAGCTTTCTAGAATATCAACGTGGTATGCTACTGTTGAACAGAAGCATAATATGTCTTTTTGAGGATTGACCGAATTACAATGATTTTTCTGTTTTCTGATTTGTGACGGTGAAGTTCCAACGTTCTTGTGTCGTAGTTGTAAACCGTAGCAAATTTAACATCTTGATACTATACGGCGAGAACTATGAAACTATGACTTTTGGAACTTATTCAGCCCGCCACTTGGTTACGGCTAATAAGACATATAATTTTGGCACTTGAATATGTTGAATCCCCAACTTGCGAATCAAAATGATGGAATGAACCAGGAGATGTGTTTGATGAAGTAGCAGAAATATATTGAAAAACAGGTGAATTTCTAGGGAGTTTATATGATTTCTAATCACAGCATACTAAGTCGATATTCTAGAAAAGTCTATCGGATTCTGACTAGATAGAACCTATCCAGCTCATTTGAAGCCTCTGGAGTTTTCGTCGTGTCTTCTGAAGGTCCCCTGAACAGGACTATCATACAAAAGACTATTATATACATTTTTATCATATAATTAATTTGGACTGCTGTATTTTTATATTCTACTATTTTTAAGCATACGTTTGACCTATAAATGGTTGTCATATGTTTTATTAATCCACATTTATCATTCATTGATTAATCCCTCCGAATACTCTGGTTTTGTATCACTTATGACCAAGTTATGTGTAAACGTTATAATTCCTTAAAAGTGTTACTGTATGGTCAGATATTTCAAGTATATTATTGTTCTAGTTTTGATGCATAATTCAATTAAGTACAGTAGAGAATAAAATCTGATGTTTATCTTCATCTTTTGATTGGCTACTGAGTTAAATAAATCTCAGGGATCAGTAAGTGTTAAAGTGTTATTTATTGCTCATTGATCGATGTGCCAATGAGTAAATAGGACATTAGTCCAACATGATATTGTTGAAGTAGTTGATAGTCAGATTAGAGTGAGAAAGAAAGAAATAAAGATCTAAAAACAAACCTAACAATGAAAACTTTCTATCATGACACTAGATCACATGAACTTGAACACTCTGAGTCTAACTAATGGTTACTCGATCATCATTTATTATCTTAAGTGGATAAATGCCTCACATTCAACATGTATTAGCTTAATGAACCATGGATTTCACTAGAACTCTGGAAATTTCCACTCGAAACTCATTACAAGAAAGTATATGATAATTTTCAGTATGTGGTTGTGGAGACTTTTGAATTTTATTGAAGTTGTGATTAGTCTGTATTTGTGTACACCCTCAGTATTAAAATGATTGATATGAAGATAGGGGAGAAAAAAGAATCTTAGTAATTTTCACCAGTTTTAAGTCTTGTTGAAAATTATGTGACTTATAATAATGGAAGAAACTGTCCTAGTAACAGTTAGTTTCTATATAATGTCTAAGTGTAAAATAAGCTCATAACCCCCTGGTATAATCAAACTTACAATTGATTGATGCTATCGACCAAGTTGCAATGTGGCTACCAGTCTAGATGACTCGACACTGCGTGCACGATGTTGAGATAAAATGGTGGTTGGAAGTAGTCAGCAGGAAACTATGGACCCAGGTTTCGTGTTACTTGGCACTCGTCAGCAATGTATACCTGTATTCTTGAGGGAACTGATGCTCCCTGACGGACTCGATCCCGTGTCATCTAGCTTCACAGTTGGAGATGTTACCACTGAGCTATCCGGGCAGCGACCGACCTCCTGTAGGACTGAGATGTAACCACAATTCTGTCTGCACTAATAAGGACTTGACACACATGAGATTGATCACCACCCAATGATCAATCAGTCGATCGTGTATCAATGCTCACGTGACATTTCAAAGAAAAGTGGTAGGTGAGAAGTGATAAACAAGGTATGCTATGTGGAAGGTGGTCAATTATACACCTATTCATGGTCTCAACCTATGTCATCGCCTGGGTCCGAAGAGTACTTGCCTATATTCGGTTTACCAATTGTAGGTCCCTAGTAATTCTTAGATTTTTTCACTCAAATAGTAGATTAGGCAAGTGTATGGTGAATAGCTTTGACATATAACCCCTGAAGGTCTAATGAGAAGCCGTGATCAGTGGAGTCCAGCCCGTATAGGATGTGAGACAGTTATCCACTTCAGGCAATAGATAAAGGGTTACCCAAGATCATGGATTGATTACAGTTTTACATTAATACCGTTGGACGCCGGCTCGGTGTTCTGGAGGTTAAGAGTTCACGCTCGATTCCCGCGGGCGGGATTATCCATGGGCACTGATGAACGGTCCCATACTAGAACGAAACTTCCATCCAATGCTTCTAGATTTTCAATGGTAGTCTAGCTTAGATCAACTCGAGATTTCGACTGTAAAAATATGATATAGTAAGAAATTCTTTCCACTTATGTTTACACAGAAAACTTGATGCATTATTCACTTTCTTTTGAAATTACCCACATATAAAACTTACTCTGTTGGATGTCGAATGTAATTCATTATTGTACGAATTGTAATAAGTATTGTAGGTAAACCTAGACAAAACAATATGGGGAGATAAATAACAGAAAATAACGTGTGGTTATAATACTGAATAGATTGTTTATTCAGTTCTAAAACTATCTAACAATGTACTCAAACAGAAATAGATCTTTCTAGGAACATACTTCAGACTTGTGGAATCTTAGACACGTGATTAACATTTTAAACATTTTCATTTCATTCAGTGACTGATATAATTTTAACGTCAATCGATTAAATATACATCACAAATTATTTCATTCTTCTTAGTCATTAAAAGTTTATTCATAATGTGGTGTGTACTACTAATGTCAACCGATATAAGTAGTATGTATCATCAGTCAAAAGTGAAATGTCTGGAAGAAGGTTAAGAAGATAGAACGAAAAAAAACAAGAACAGAGAATGATCGATGTGGAAGCAAAAGAAAAATGAAGTCTGAGACGACTGATTGACATTTTACAAATAAAGTATTTACAATATGGCTCTCAGATTTTACTAAGTGATTTTGTAATTTTGTGTCCAAATACATTCGATTATAAATAGTTGAAATCATGAGTCAATTGAAGCTAAATCATCATGGAAAACGTGGGAGCACTGGACGGTCTTTTCGTTCCATTGTGGGACTCCTCAGCTATGCGCATCGACGACCCCGCCTCCAGCGAGATTCGAACCCAGGGCCTTCAGTCCCGCACGCGAACGCTTAACCTCTAGACTACTGAGCCGGTATCCGACAGTGTTAATGTATAACTCCAACCAATCCACAAAATTGCGACACCGTCACCATTGTCTCCAGTGATCTGATATCTCACAACAGACCCAGTTGAATTCCACTGGTCACTGCTTCTTAATAAAAATCCAGGAATACCTCTTTAAGTCAACCACTAGCGAGCAGATAATTATTGCCAGAAGGGGTTTTGTGGAGATGTTAGTAATTTCAGTAGTTGAAATCATGAGTCACTTGAAGCTGGACAGATAGGTTCCGGGTTCGAATCCCACGGGGTGGGGTGGATCGTGGATGCTCATTGTTGGGGAGTCCCGCAAGAGGAAGAAACGGCCGTCCATTGTTTCTAGGTTTTTCCATGGTTGTCTAGCTTCAATTGACTCATGATTTCAACTATCGAAATTACTAAAAACTCCACAAAACCCATTTTGATAACATTCGATTATCCTCACTTATATTCTTGTTTACAACAATAATACCGATCTAAAATGAAGATTCCACATAGATTTTCTAGAAAACCACGATTTCTGTATTGTATAAAGCGGACTGAAGTTGAGTGGTTGATACGAAAAAGAACAGTACAACAGTTACTTATGTTTTGGTATTTCTTTTTTCTTAAACCAAAATGTTCCAGAGATACTCTTTAGTACCAGTAGTCATGGCCGGACAAAATCATGCTCACTATCTCTCTAAAACTATGTTGTTTTATATAACAAATTAATTCTATTCATTTGAACGATATGGATAATTTGATATTGTGACGTTATAAACTACTGATATAGATTTAAGAAAGTAAGTACATGCAAGTGAATCCAAATAAAACGACATTTGTGCATTATAAAACCTGAATGAATTTTTAATAATAATAATGATAATAATGATGAGTCTTAAGCTGGTGGAGATAGATCAATTTCATCATGTTTCAGAAACTCATTCTGAGAGTGTTGAAGCACTATGAGGAGTCAAGACAAGTTAATTATTGTCTGGAAAATATTTCACTCAATGATCATGAGCAGTAATGATCAAAGGAATCAAAACAGATGGAGAAGGTAGCAGTGATAGATAATAACAGACAACTTTTCAGACTTATGAAATAAGTATGAAGAAATCGGGTGTTAGTGAGACTATCTTCTAAGAAAACGAATTGTTTTCTTAATGTTAGCCTAGATAATTGTAAATATGGGTGGGACATTTCAAATGTCTTCCAGTTACCCACTATTCCAAAGCAACTATAAAGCTGTATCTAACTTGAGACGGGATGGAAAGAAGCAGAATCTGACGAAGTAACTAAAGAGGTCTTTAGATATAGTGCACCAGGTTTAATAGTTTGGCAGAATGAGATAATGGAGTCTGACGACTGGATATAATCTCACCTGACCGATCTCAATGGCTGATCATTTATGTTCATAAAAAATAACTGGAACTCTCTTGTAATAATCACAGAGAAATCAATTTGAATAGATTGTATTATCTCGTTGCTGATATTTGATCAGCCTTAGTTGGCATATGTGTATTCTGTACAAATTGCCTTGACACAGCTATTATGATACAAGTCAGTACAGAATAGATAGAATATGACTAACAGTGGAATCCAAGACACATGTTTCGTTCTGATAGGAACTCTTCATCTGATCGTACCTGGATGACAAACAAAACACACATCCTGGATTCCACTGTCAGCCATATTCCATCTTTTCTACACAGAAAAATTGGATTGACTAATGCAGAACCCAAAATATTGTTTTCTATAATCATCCGATTCTTATTTAAGTGTATGGTAAGTAATAGCTTAATCAATTGGGCTGCAAATGAAATCTGAAATCGATTTTCTTTCAATCATGTGTAACATATATTCACATTTTAAGAAGGAATATGGATGCTTAGTTGTATACGATGATAAATATGTGTTCACATAGTCAGTTGCTAATTATATATATATATAGTTTTCTTTCTTTTTAATTTGAATAATTGATTATTATTGTTATTACTATTAAGGTTGTATGGTATCTAGCAGTTGAATCCAAGATGAACATTTCGTTCCATTTGTGACTTGTCAGCTGATTGGATGTACCTGAATCTCAGTGTTGTTGATGTTCATACTAAGAATTTAATACAATACCTTTAGTTGCAAACACTCGATATGGTTACCCACTGATTTATTGAGTCAAGATAACAATTAGAATATGTAATAATCACGATATACAAATACATATAGAGTATAGGTAAAATTATACTATACTGTTATAACTTGTGGGTTTGTGCCCCTATCAGTGTATGACGTGATAATGCCGTCAATTAGAGAATAGTGAATTATCGACCGGATCAATGACGCATAAAACAAGTACGAGTAGTCTAGAGTCCTGATTAGTCCTGCTTCCTGCCTAACCCTGCCTGTTAAGTTCAGAACACCAATCTGAGCCTCTGTGATATGAATCATGTATTTCAAACATACTGGGTTTATATACCAATCAAATAGACTACAGCGTACCAATAAAATGGAAAATAACATTTGTACAAGATTTGGCTAAATGTGACCGTGAATCTGGGAGGTAGTAATTAATAGACAGGGTATAACTCGAGAAGGCTAAGTCGTAAAATAATAGTTCATAGGTCAAAATAGAGCTTATGATAAGAGAGACACGAATATGTTTAGTTTAGTTACTTAACAATTATACGATAAAAATATACGTATAGTAATGGTCGAAGAATCGATCTCAACAGTTACCATTCATTATTCTCATTGGAATATAACATATACCGATAGCCTTGAACAATCAATCGAAACTAAGCTAGCCGATGTTAGATATTGGCATGAATTTAAAACTCTGTTGTCGATAATTTGTTACTGGGACTTATTATTTTCACTATATTTCGTTGCTTTTGAAAGGATTGAATGGCGATTTTTTTTGTAGATTGAACTGTTAAGATCATTATGTTAGAATAACAATCAAGGGTTTCGAAATTTTATGATTAGGAGTTAAGTTTTAAGAGATCTAAAGCAATAAATAAGGATCTAACCGGATGATAGCACAATTATTTTCAGCCTAAGTTATTGATATTTAGTCTCAATCAGTTCATTATTCATGTTAAAGATCTCAATCCTCTAAAATTGAGTTACTTTTCTACATTTTACAACTCATCAAAGCTGCATTCTGATTGGATGTGTATTTTGTTGTTGTTGTTGATCGGTTGATCTCAAGATCATCCTTAAAACCAGATAAGGTTGTCGGTATGTAGTGAATAGAACACGAGTGGGGACAATTGAATGCATCTAACACGAAGTTACAGGACTTGTTAGTAAAATCTAACAATCATAAAGTAAATGCTTAATTTGCAAAATGTCCACCAATTGTCTCAAAATGACTCAGACTTCATCGTTCTTGAATTGTCATACAAATTGCATCCTGTTTCCACTCTTTACTATTCGATCCTCTTGTCTCTCTGCTGCCAGACCTTCTGTTCACGACTAACATCATATACTACTTATGTTAATACAAGTAGCACATATCACAGATATAGCACAGTTTTACCGACTGATCAGTTGGAATCTCTAATATCAACATCAAGAAATGTAAACTTTTACAAATCAAGTTAATGATCATTCTAATAATTTTGTCTTTTTTATTTATACATTTGTGATATAATATAATCTCTAATCCTCATGTAAATTGAACAGTTATTATTTATGAGTCCACCTGGAGCTCCACTGAGGTTACTGCTGGTCCCAAGCTCGGGTAAAGGATGAGGGTTAGGTATGGGATTAGTGACCCCATCCTGTAGAAAATTAACTCGCTAAAAAAACACTAAACATTAAACTTTTACAGCTATGGATCAGTTATTCATCTTGTCAACGTACAGGGCTTGTAGAGACTGTTAAATTCTATGATTTTATTACGAAATGACTCAAGTCAGACAATTATTAAGAACTAGGAAGTACTAGATTACTATTTCATCATAATACTAAAACCATCGACAGTGCTCATTCACTACAACATCATCAGTCGAACCCATGACATTCATGTCTCGTAACGTGCGTTTAACCTTCAGACTATTTATTTGGCATACCTTGATTTACTTAACTAACTTTAATCAATTCGAGATATAGTTCAACCACATTCCAGTCATATTAATGGAAACAGCCTCACACCCAACATAACTGAACTCCATTGGATATGGGATTAAAAAACGGTTGAATAATATGATATATTGATTAAAATTATACATTTAAACCGTTAGATACTGACTCAGTGGTCTTAAGGTTAGACACTAGTAAACAGACCCAAAGATCCTGA